CTTGTAAGATGGTTTGATTATCTAGTGATGTTGTTTCTTCACCTTTGAAAGTAGGATCTGAACATTTGATAATGTCCAATAGGGTTGTAATTTGACCACATTGACAATAGAAGATCTCATTTCTCTTAGATATCGAGCTATAGTTTTCTCTTCTGGCTCTACTAGCCCATATTTCAACATAAGTTATTTGAACTCAACTGTGTAATCCTCTATTGAGAGATCTTGTTATTGCAATATATGATGTCTCAAGAATATAGACATGTTTGTAGCACGATTGGATCTTGGCGCTGAACTTTTCCTGATGTTTGAGGACCTGAGCTGCCAGTCTTGCTGTAGACCTGCAGTTTCCTATTTCCAGCTAACTGTCCAACAGCTGATTGCACTGATTTCTTAGTCGTCGACATGGTTTCACCCTCCATTCTCATCCTACAACTCATCTTAACCCTCTCTTGATCTCTCCACATCATCTAGCAACCCTAGATCTATGTCACATACCCTTTTTTTTAAGAGCCATGAAAGTGGATCTTTGTTACTTCGATGATTTTACTCTATGCAGGATGAGCAAAACATTATGATGCTTTAGAAAAGAGTTGAGTATTTGAAATTGCATCGGATAAATCCCTTTCACATCACAAAGTGGGCTCACATAATCACTGCAAGCAACAAATGGTTATTACTTATGGTAAAAGGAATTTACAATCATGATAAAAAAAAAACATTTGCTCTCATCAGAACCAAAATTTTTATTGAGCCTTTTAACTTGGAAAACATTAAAAAGATGAAATGTTTAAACAAAAAAATATTGTAAAAAGAAAAAAAAAATTAAAAGTAATTGGATTTCATTGTTTTCTCTAATTATTGCAAACATTAATCGATGTTAATTTACATAGATTAGTATGCCTTTCATATAGTTTTGAGTCCCACCCACTATTCTACAGTGTGGTTGTCAGCAACTTGTCCCCTTTCAAGCTTTTAAGAGTACTCGTCCTGATTTCTATACTAAATGTTATTCTAATTTATAATCCTTTACATCTTTCTTTATCAATATAATAGATATTTTACTAATTTTTGTGAAGTGCTACCATCGCATAATATCTTTCTACTGTTTTAATTATCATTTATTTAATTTTGAGATGATTGAATAGTAGGCTAGGTAGGAGTCTATGAATTCAAATGCTTTCGAACCTTCTTATGTTGTTGATACCAGAATTAACTAAGACAACTAAATTGCAATTTTTATATTGAAATTAAATAGGGTTACAACCAACACATACGACAATAGGAAATAACAGCCAAGGGGACAACCATAAACCCAAAGTAGGGCTAGGGTGAAGGTGGTAGCTGGGTAGCAGGATGAGATGGGTTTGTTTAGTGCAACGAAAGATCGTGTAATGGCTGGATGGGGGCAGCTGAGAGGCTGGATGGATGAATTTGGTGGAAGGGCTGGTGGCAGTTACGGGAAGGAGTTGGATTGGCAGAGGGAGGCTGGTTGGCTGGGAGTGGATAACGTAGGCTGGGAGATAGTTGGGGAGGAAAGGGGTTAGCGGCGAACTTCAGGGTAACGTGAGGTGTGGCTGGGCTCTATAGGGGAGGAAAGGGGTTAGCGGCAGAATGTTGGGTGACAAGGGGTTGTTAGATGGTAGGGAAGGGTGACAGGAAGTTATGGGGCTGCAAGATCAACACAAGTGCTATTCTTGGGGGCAGTTGCAGCGATTACAGCGGAGGGGAGGTTGTGAAGGATGAGAGACCTGAGAATAATGACCACTTTGGGATGAGTTATAACATGATTACCTTCTCGTCATTGGATACAACCTTAGAAAGGGAAAAGGGACCCCAAAGGCTGTTCTGACAAAAATCTCAAAGCAAAATTGAACCCTAAACTGTCAAAACAACATATATGTACTAATAGATAGTTAGGAGAGGGGAATCCTTCCCATTGGGAGGTAAAACTAGCCCCCTTGGACCGGTCGGCCCAAACAATAGCAAGGTTGAATCGGTTCTGTGCTCTCCAGCAAGTTTAGCAGTCCAGAGCCCTGTGTCAGTTTTTTGGGGTTGGGGGAGCTTCGACCTCATTCGTTGAAGTTTTTGGCTACACGTTGATGGTGATAGAGTTGTTGTAAGCTTCCGAGGCTGAAGGATCTTCTATTGTTGTCTGAGAAGCACTTGTATCCCACTGAAAATTGCACCATCCTACAAAACACCTTAGGATTTTTTCTCCCTTGCGAGCATACTTCCATATCACTCTACCTTTCTGGGGGTCCATTATGGAGGTAAGCTGAGTTTGTGTGTCATGCATATACTGCTGAATCCTCCCAAAGTAATCTAAGGTCGCCTCAACCTGATCCGAAGTGATGGTAACCTGAATAACCTGAACCTCTCCGAATGGTGGTGGACATGGAGGTAATGCTCTCTGTTATGATCGTCCCATGTTTGTAGTTGGTGTCTTAATCTTATCATCTTCCGTCGTCACTAAAACTGGTTCCACTGATGTTATTCTACTGGCACGTGCATTTATGATCTTGGGTTCCACCAATGGAAGAAGGGCAATTCGTTTCTCCTTGGTGAAGGAGTAGATGTTTCTGAATCCATCATGTTGAGTACTATGACCGAATTGCCACTGTCTCCTCAACTAAAGGTTGCAGACATCCATGGATACCACGTCGCACCTCATCTGATCCTGCTGTTGGTCCTGATCGAAAACTCCACTAGGCACCTCTGATCAGTGTTGATGCTGTTCCTTCTTCAGCCACGTCAGAGAATACAGCTGGGAATGCCTTTTGAGTCATGAGTCCCAATTTCTCTACCATCTCCGTATATACAATGTTCTTACTGCTGCGCCCATCGATGATGAGATTGCATACCTTCCAATTCACAGTAAAATGTGTATAATAATTGCGGCGAAGCCACTGCAGATTCCCCGTATCTTCAATCTGTAGATCTCGTCGAACCACAAACACCTCAAATTCATTCGGTGAAGACGATACACCTCACCCTGTTCCTCAGCTGTCTCATCGTTGCTAAACACCTCCACTGCGCCCTGCCAGTAGAAGACATAAATTGACTCTTCAGGCAGATGGAGGCGATGTGCCCAAATTTACAGCATTTGAAGCATTTTCAGACGAGTATTGTAGTAGGAGTGCTACTCATCTCAAGCTTCTTCTCACGTGAGGTGACTCTATCTTTATCCGAACCGGTTTTTTCAACTCCCTGAGGTGTTCTCTTGCTGTTGTCTCCAATTGCGAGCAACTATCTGAATGGTGGTGGTTGCCCGCCTTGTTTCTGCTATCTCTCCATCTTTAGGGCCAAGGTCTAGACATCTCCCAGTGACCAATAGGGTTGTAACTGCACTATGTTGTTGATAACGAGCTTTAGAAACCCTTGATAACGGACTATGGTATGTTTCTCTGGCTCGACTAACTCTCGACTAACTCTCACGTCATCTGCAGCTGGTAAAAAAATGTCGTGAAATCCTTCACTGATAAATCTCTCTACTGTAGGTGGTGGAATGTCAAAAACATATTCAGGTGGTAATGAGGAGGTATGTATTTTCTCTACATCCCCTTCTTTTCACGTCTTATAGCCTTGCCACTGCCTTCTCTCTTTCTCTGCCTCTGCAAGTTTTTCCATCACAAGGAGGCACTCTTTCTCAATTTGGTGGCTGCAAGATTTACCGTTTTATTCTCTTACACTTTTTTGTACTCGAAGACCCTCTCAATTGACTGTAGTCATTCGATGAAATCGTCAGAATCCATTCCTTCATCGAACCCTGGTAGATCCTCTTTGATACAAAAATGTTAGTGTCCTCTAAATGTAGCCTCCTCTCTCGGCTTTCTTTGATACTGAATTCCAAAATGTCGAGGCTTGTCTTTCTTATCATTGAAGTTATCCCTATGGAAGGGATTTAGATCCTCGACTATTTGTCCTCTTTGACTTTACCAATCATGATCAAGGGTAATTTCCCCCTGGGTTCCATGATCAATCTCCGCGAGCCTCAATTAAAGGCGATAGATCTCTCACTGTATCTCGTCTCGGGTTGGTTCCAACATGCATCTTCTTGATGGCATGATTAGGGTTTGGTGATTGGAAGAGGTGGTTGAGGATAGGAAAGAAAATTTGATTAGGGTTGCTAGCTCTGATACCAATTGTTACCAGAGTTAATCAAAACAACAACGGAATTGAAATTTTATTACTGTTTTTAAATACAGTTACAACTAACACATACAAAAATAGGAAATAACAACAAAGGGAACAACCATAGACTCAAACTAGGGCTAGGGTAAAGGTGGTGGCTGGGTAGCAGGTTGGAAGGGATGGGTGAGGTTAGGGCAGCCGAAGAGGGTTTAGTGGCTGGATGGGGCAGCTGAGAGGCTAGATGGATGAATTTGGTGGAAGGGCTGGTTGCAGTTACAGGAAGGCTGGTTAGGAGTGGGTATCATCAAGGAGGGAGGAGAGCTGGTTGAGTTATGGTGGGGTGGGGAAAGGGGGAGTGGGGCTGGACTCCAGGGTAAGGTGAGGTGTGGCTGGGCTGTACGGGCGGAGGAAAAGGGTTAGCGGCAGGAAGCTGGGTGACAGGGGGCTTCAGGAACAACACAGGCACTGTTATCGGGGGCGGCTGCAGAGGTTATGGTGATGATTGCTGAAGCGGGGAGGTTGTAGAGGATGGGAGAGTCGAGAATAATCACCACCTTGGGATAAGTTACAGCCGTAGCCTCTTCTCGCCGTCGAATATAGTCCTAGAAAGAGAAAAGTGATGCTGGAGGCTGTCCTAACAGACATCTCAAAGCAAAACTGAACCCTAAAAAGTTATAACAACACGTATATATACTAAGAGATAACTAGGACAGCAGACCCAAACAACAGCAAGGCTGAACTGGTTCTGCACTCTCCAATCGGTTCAGCCCTCTAGAGCCCTGTGTCAATTGTTTTTCTTGTGCATAATTCATATTTAGCTTTTTCTAAAACCTCCTATGATATCCGTCTAAATATCTTGAACCATCCAGGTCCAAGTAATCTGGATATCCTTCAAGGTCATTCAAAAGCAACAATGTTTCTGATACTTAACAATGCAGCTCAAGGCATACTGTCATCATTCTTTTTTAAGTACGCAGGTAAATGAAGACTGTTTAGTTTTATTTGGTTGTAATTAATCCCTTGAGATAAATTTTCCTTCAATTTTTATGTTTTTAAATTTCTATCTTAATTGAGCAATGAGAAAAATGAGCATGCATAGTTGTATTCCTTGTTTGCAGACACAATCTTGAAAAAATACTCGTCAACAGTTGCGACAATTTTTACGGGCATAGCATCAGCTGCATTGTTCGGTCATACCCTAACTATAAATTTTATGCTTGGAATTTCTGTGGTGGCTATATCGATGCACCAGGTTACAGTGGCATTCTTTTTTACTTCTGCCGTGGATTTGTTTATTTTCTGAAAACCACAGGTTAATTTAATAGTTACATTGATATCTTGTTTATTTCTAGTTCTTTTCTTCAGTAGCAAAAGTCAAGGATGACACTTCAACGGGAACATTAGAAGTAATTGATTCTCCTAGGCACAGGTAGGCTATTGTTTTCACATGTTCCGAGGAAGCGTATGTTCCCTGCTCCAACTTTAAATTTTGTTTAATTAAGGTTATTTCTTTTAATCCTACTGTGTAGATGATGGTGAGAGTTCATCTCTTAAAGTAGAAATCCTGTTATTTTCGTAGAGAGGCCCACTAGCAGCAAGTTTAATTGGGCTCAGCCAAAGAGGTTGAACTTAGGTTTCTTGTTCAAGCTTAACGTTATCGTTTTTTGTTTATTTTAATAGTCTTCCCAACCTGACTTTTAATCATTTGTTTGGCTAGTGAAAGATATTTTGGACGGTAGACATGTCTCAAAATTTTGTAGTCGTTTATGCAATTTGCAGAGACAAATTGAAATTGCATATGAATATGAAATTCGGATGTTAAAAATACTATTGTCACTACTGATTTCCATATTTAAGCTAATCCAAGCAAATTAATGTTAGTGAATATATTCCAGCATATATTTAACCTTAATACAATGGAAAATTGGAGAATCTGGGAGCTTGGTAGCAGGCAGTTAGGTCAGATTTTTTTTTGTACAAAATGCTTATCGTACCAGTTAGATGGGTATGTGTCATCCTTTTGAATTTTTATTTTTTTACTTTGATATCTATTGATACCGGAGTTAACCCAAACAACAATAAGCAAATACATATTATTACTGAAAAAACCAATAGACGGTTACAACCAATACAATGAAATGGAAAAACAAAAAATACAATGCTCAACTAGGTTTGTACCCATGGGGAGGTGGTTGGCTGGTAGTCTGGAAGGCCGGATGGTGGGGTGGCAATAGGGGGCCATGGTGGAATCAAAGGGAATGTGAGAAGCTGACGGAACAACGAGAGGGTGGGCTGTTCAGGCGGTGGCAACAAGTAGAGCTAGACTGTAGTACGGAGACGCGAGGAATGTTTTTGGGTGTCTGGAACTACAACAAAATATCGGGAACGACTGTTCAGGGTGGCATCAGTGAGGGGGAATAATGGCGGCAACAATGTAGAATGCATTGGAGTGCGGGATAGTAAAAGGAGGGCTGTCCCGGGAGTGCGGCTGCGTGGAGGGTGGCTGTACTGCGGGATAACAAAAGGAGGGTTATTCCTGGGTTTTAGTAGTGCGGAAGATGGGTGGACAATGAGGAACTATAGGAAGGACAACAAAAGGATTGGCTGTTGGGGCGATCGTCAACGAGGAGGGATGCGAAGTTGGGGATGGATAAATCACCACATCGGGAGCAATATATAATCAGAGCACAACTCGACTCTTTGAATTGAATGATCACTTTGGAAAGAAAATACAACTAGAGCATCACTCGCCCTTGGATATAGTCGGAGCACCACTCGTCATTCGATTCGGTTCTAGAAGACGAAACAGGGATATCGATAGCTGTCCTAAACATGAACACAACAAAAATTGAAAACCTAAAACACTGGAAGCAAATATATATGCCTTAGATAATTAGGATTGGGTTCACAGTTGAATGAAGGTGCCAAACCTAAGCGGAGTTGATTGACTCTCCCCTTGCTTGAACCAGTCGGTCCAGGTGCTGGAATGCATTTTGCGTGAAGTTTCACACGTGCGTCAGAAGATGTACCCGCATCACTCTTCCGGGGTTGTGGGAGTTTTAACCTCCATCTATGAAAGGATCTTTCTCCTTATAGTATGGCGTTAGGTCGTCATGTTGAGGGTGGAAAAAATTCTTTATGTTTCTAGTAAATCAATCATGTAGACGCCGTCATTCCAATTTACATCATGATAGAATAAGTACCCATCATCTTTTCGCACAGCCCACAACCCTTAACGGAAGCTGCATATAAATGTAGATTTCTCACACAGTAACTCTCGAGCCATTAATTATGTAATTTGTTTCTGTTATTTCTCGTACTCGGTTGAATTTATCTGATACAAGTCTGTTGGCTAAGATGTCTGACAAGTTTATCCATAGAGGTTCTTTTTTAGGTATCAGCTCCTTAGACTCATTATCTTCTAGAACAAATACTGTTAATTCCGTTGGGTCTCATGGGGTCAGCTTGAATAACGTGCATCTTTCCCTCATAAGTTTATAGTTGGTACTCCTTTGTGTCCTCATCTTCAGCGTCCTCTATATTATTACCCATTTATTTAATTGCTTCTTGCTTAGTGAAATAAACGGCAATCAAATGCATGATGCCGAAAATTGTGACACTTGATGCACTTCCGAGCGGGGACTAATTTGGGAATGCTAGTTGGCCTCACTGGTTCTCCACTCTGAACTAGTTTTTCCTTAAGTGGGGTCGGCATGGATGTTCCATTGGGTGTACTCGGGTTGCTTGATTCTGAGGTTGAACTTTCCTTGAGATGTGACAGTCATCTGGTAATATTATCTCTCCACTTTTGAAGCTAGGGTTCGAACATCCTTTGTGTAAAGAACGGGCACATTACAGGATTTTGTCAAATTATCATCGACAAATTTCAACACTAGTAAGACAATATTCTGACACAAAACAATATTAGCGATGAATTTGCGTCGAACATATAATACGCGCAAAAACGAGCATCATAAATGCAATTTACACTGAATGTGTCCAATGCAAACACCATGCGTCAACATTAGCAGATGACATTGTCTATGATAGCCAGTTTCGATGTGAGCCATGTCAATGTAAACATTAACTATGGCATTTGCGTCCATCATTTGCGGATGCAAACTTACATCGTCATTTGCATCCACATTTTATGTTGTGAAAGTTGATTAGCATCGGAATGTATCAAAGTTTATAGCGCCGGGAATTCTTGACGCAAAGCCGACACAAAGATGTAGCAAAGTTCGAAAAAAAATATAAAAAAATGATTAAATTTTTACAACCTGCACAAAAAATTCACAAATATTTATTCATCACTAACACAAAACATAACATTTTGCACAAACAATTATTGATAATGAAAACAAATAGAATTTTACAAACATCACTTAAAATCTGTAAAAGTGCATTTCTAAACGAAAAATATATATATGCAGAGAAAAAATTATCCACATAATAAAAAAACATACGCAAAACCCTACAGAATATCATCATCATTCTCTCTCCATTCACCAAATTTTGGGGTCGTATGCCTTGAAGATCTACAATTTACTCCACTAGGCGTACTATAGTATCCTAAACTCTCTGTTGTCCCTCACGTAGCTGACGGAGTTCCTCAGACATAATAGTGACACGCCGGGCAAGTTTCTTATGCTCCGATGATAATGATCTCAGACCACCCTGAGCGGCTCGGGAGTGCTCATCCTCAAATGTAGGCCCTTTGCTCCCAAACTGTACACCCCACACTTCTATTCTGTTGCCCGCCTTCGCATCTTAAAAACAAACTGCTCAATGCTAGATTGATTACCACTATTACTAGCTGCTATCGAGCTTTGGCTTTGCCTCTGACTTTGAATGTCTCAAATGTCTCGAATGTCTCATACTCCTATATAATTAGAACTAAGGATTTACTAACATTCTACATTAATAATGTAAGAAAAATGTAGAATTTTTTTTTACTTACATTTACACATTAAGAGAGGTCAGAGACGCACCGTTGCGTCTCTGAGCGCCGATGCATCCGGACATGCAACTTTGCAATTGTGGGCGGCTGGCGAAACTCGAGCCTGTGGACATGAAAAAATAATAAGTATCAGATAATTGCACATCATTGAATTGCCGAGTATTTAGTGAATCTTTCCAACTTACGACAGTACTCTATGTGTGGGACCTATTCTCTAATGTGAAGTGCAGCTCCCCTAACTTTGTCGGTCCTCCTATTTTGCTAGTTTGTTGTCCTCTTCCTCTAATAATTGGGAGAGGTCCAAACTTTTTTCAACTGCATCTAAATCTCCTCTCCAACCCAGATTGCTCCACTTTCCTATGGGCTGTCGTGAATATATCACCCAGCTGATGCCTACCTCGAACCTAAAAAATATGTCGGATCTGCCAGTGGAAGGACCTTTGCAAATTAAAAATTATACAATAATTATTAGTATAACAAAATACTTTGAAATTTTAATTCTAATTCATATTAACTTATTCTTCCTTGAACTCCCTAAACCACATATCTCGATTTACAATTGGGATCTGCTTCCAAGAGACAACAATAACAAACCTTTATCACATTAAGTGTGGTCGGTTACATGAATTCTTTTTCTCCATTGCGTCCTATTTAGTGCATATTTTCATTTAATTCTAATAAATTAAGATCAATTTTTATTACATAAGTCGAATCTAAAACATCAACTTTCTTAATCGAATCATCAAATGGTCGACGTTTAATGTGACCAAACCATCTAAGAAGACTCTCTAATTTTGTCCGTTACGGGGGCTACACCAACCCTATCACGAATATATTCATTTTCTATTTTGTCTCTAAGTGAAAAGCCACTCAACTATCTAATCATTCTCATCTCGACAACACTTAATTTTGTTTTATGCTTCTCTTTTATAGGCCAACATTCAACTCCATAAAGCACTTCAGTTCTCTCCACCATCTTATAAAATTTTCCTTTCAGTCTAAGCAGTGCTTTTCTATCACTCAATTGACCCGAAGCATTCCTCCACTTCAACCAACCAACATGAATTCTACCAATAACATGCCCATCTATATCACCATCAGTTTGAAAATAGACCCGAGATATCTAAAGCGTTCACACCTTTTAATAATTTGATCACCCATAGTTACAATTCTGTCACTAGAGTTACTAGTCCTAAAATTACATTGCATGTATTCAGTTTTAGTTCTACTCAAACAAAGTCCTCTAGACTCCAATGTAGACCCCCATAATTCAATTTTTTTAGGAGCTTTCTCTCTCGTCTTATCCATGAGAAGGATATCATCAGCAAAAAACATACACCAAGGTACATCCTTTTGTAAATATCCAGTAAGAGCATCCATAATTAAAGCAAAAAGATATGGCCTTATAGCCGATATATGTTAACACAGTCATTGCCTGGTCCCAAGCGCCGGATGTGAAAAGTGGAGGG